GTGGTGATATTAATTGTTAATGAGGTGACATTTATTAATCATTTAAACATTCATTTGATGTGTGGGTCGTAATTAATACTCCTGTTATTGCTTATAGGCTATCATATCTTAGCTACACTTAGAAGCTATGTTTATGCAAAATATTCCTTGTCAGGGTGAAATGTGTTTGGATATTTGGAAGACAAATAATAATAATAATCCTCAAACTTAGTAAGTTTTCCCTTCTCAGAGTTATCGTATTTCCCTAAAACAATCCCATAAGAAGGGCTGTACTTCAGCCTATGCAAACAACAACATAAAAAATAAATCATTTGGTTTAAGTTCAGTCTCCTTCTGCATTATGACGGGATACATTTCATATATTAATCATATCTATTTATCTTTCCATTATAATGGCACAACTGACAATCTGGGGATAAGATATCAATGCTCTATAAACTGCTGTCAGATGGCCAGTTTTACTGAATATATCTTGTGTATGTGTTTAACCAGTATGTGATAGCTTTTAGGTTTGACTTTCAGCATCTTCCATCCTCATCAGATTAGGACATGTCATTGGGTCATTGCTTCGGCATCTGAGTCAAACTTGTTGTATTGTTTCAATAGGTCAAGGTGGTAATGAAGAGTCTTCAATGGGGATGCTGTTACTGACTGAAGAAGACTAAAAGTATATATGTATACTTTTGTAACACTTTATTTTCACAATAAGGTTACATATGTTTTGCACTTTTAGGAAATGAGAGGGGGTAAGACTTCCAGTAGAACATAAGGAGGAGGGATGCAGTACAACAAGGTCTCTCCTTTACATCCTTATGAACTACAGACCCTCTGTCTGTGTGGAACACACTAGATTTGGGTAGCCATTGAAAAATAGACAAGACTGCCTTAGTTTTGCCATAGTCTTCTAAAGGTACTATCTGTGCTATTTCTGCTGTGTCACTTGCAACTAAAAGATGCTAAAGTACCGGTAATGGTAAGTTGTCTTACAGCAGAAGCTTTCACTCAAGCCATATTCCCATTCCTTTAATAAATCCACCATGGGAAAACATACTGTGTGGCAACATGTGGTCAGAACAGAATGGATCAGGTTGGTTGATAATGGAATTTGTAGCTCTTGTAAACGGATTTAATCAGATTTGGATGAATGATTTGAAAACTGATTTAGTTATACGTTGTGGAAATTAGTTTTTTTTCCACTGAACATAGAATGGGTAATATGCTCATTTTTTTCCCACTAGCACAGAACTGCAAAAATAGATGTTAAAAATCACTGCAAGCCTGATAATGTGTCCAACAAGGTCTTTGTTTTAAAAAGCTTAGATGTAAGAGTTATTTTATTCTAACCCCTGCTATGAAAATGTGACTGTGACAACACACCCTATTCACTATTAGCAGAAAATACTGTTTAAAACTTTTAAAATAATGTCGCATCATCTCTTAAATTATCAGCCAAATGCACCAGACAATGGACCACACAAAAAAAGGCAGTATAAAATGTCTTACACTGAACTGCATCGTCCTCCAAACCATCCTCTGGTTTGCAGCAAAAAGGCAGGAAAACAGAAAATACTTATTAGTTTAATTATGTGTAAGTGAAAGACTTGATTGACATAAACAGCTTTATAAAAAGGCTTCTGCTGCAAAGCAAGATCAAAAGAGCCTTAGGAAGGAATCTTTTTTTTTTTTTTTACAAAGAATCAAGCAAAGTGTTACATTTCTTTCTGCACTACCAAGAAATCCAGAATTGTTTCTGAACACGCAGCTAGTTTCAGAGTCATACAGCCAATAAATATGTTATTATAAAGAACATAATGCACTAGTTTGTCTTGAGGATACAATAAAAAAAAATAATAAAAAATATTATACTGGTGTGCTAAAATATTCAACAGCTGAAATGGTAATTATTTCTCATATACAGTGCCATCTAAAGGTATTCATATAAAAATAACTTCCCATATTTTGTCTCATTACAACCACAAAAGTCAATATACTATATTGGGATTTTTTAATGATAAACCAAAGGATAAATGCAAAGTGGAAGGTAAGTGCTACCTGGACTTTGAGTGCTTATGACCTTATCTCTGTACAAGTTGTCTATAATGTTAAAGAATAATTTAAAAATAGCATCATGAAGACCAAGGGATGCTGCAGGAAAGTCAGGGGCCAAGTTGGGTTAAGTTATAAAACAGAATTCAAAGCATCTCGTGGAACATTGTTCAATCTATATTTTAAGTATGGAAAGACTATGGCTCAAGTACAAATTCCATCCAAGTAATTCACAGGCCAGGAAAATCTATCATGTTACAGAGAGCCAACCAAGACTCTATTGGTAAATCTGGAGGAGTCGCAAAGATTCACAGCTTAAAACACAAGAAGTAAACCATAGATGAAAGAAAACGATATTAACTTCCATTAGTAGGTTGCCAAAGTCCATTTTGTCTGATGAAACCGAAATTAAACCTCATAACCTAGTTATAAAAATCTATGTTTTGAGAAAAATATTACCAGATATATAGCCCTGAGCACATTCTCTTTACTTTTACATGCTTCACCAGAAACAGGAATTTTGGTGTTGAGAGCAAGAACAGGAAGGTTTATTTCAGGTCTGTCTATTGTTACACCTGAAAATTAAATTAACAGGGAGAAAGCCAATCACAAAACAGGCAGAGCAATGAAAGTAGACAGACAGAAACAGACAGACAAAAATAGTTCAGGGTGTGCTCTTGCCCTCTTAGGAAAGACTGTGCCAGGGGAGTGAGGTGCTATGAGGGTGGGACTGCCCCCCCTCATTTATAGAGGAAATCTTGCAGGTGAGCAAAAGCGACCACTTCTTTGACTGCCTAAATCAGCAGGCTTGAACTGTGTGACTACAATGTTAAGTTTGAAGGATGCTTGAGGTATCCCCACTTTTACAAACTAAACATGGTCATCTAACTCCAGTTCAATTACAGAACAGCGGTGGAACACCCCACCAGAAAAAAACAGTTCTGCTTAGATGTTGTGGCAAGAACAAGCAAGCAGACAGTGTTAGGAGAACAACATGACATTATTGGCTGGATTTACTGCTTTTTGTTGTCTTGCATGAAATCCCCATAAAAGATGTTAAGATTTGTGGTTGTAATATGACAAAAAAACATTTTTCTATATTGATAAGTATATAGGGTCTAACTCTTTAAGATAACTTTAAGGTTACGTGTGAGGGATATCCATGTAACATCAGGTTGAACAAACATGGGGATAATCTGACTAAATATAGAAGTATAGTCTGAAGCAACAATTGTTTCACAAAATCTATCCATCTTTGTTGATCCTTTTCTCCTCTGTTTGCAAAGCACAACAAACACAGAAGAGCACTGATCGGCCCGCATCCCACACCTCGCTGCCCTCTCGGGGTAGAGCTGTTGGTTCGTTAACAAACAAAAATCGATAGATGGGCCTGAACAAAGGACAAGTAAAGGAATTAATTTCCAGCTTCCATGGGCTTAAGCTGGCAAGTCACCCACTTTAATCAACAGTGTTGAGACATAAAGACAAACGATGTTTATGCTGTCCCGTCTGAAAACAGCAGCATTTAACCTTGTGTCCTTACCAGCCTTTCCAAGCTTGTGCCAGCAGCAGTGGTGGGCGGTTCCTCTGGGTTGTAGGGTCTAAAGCGGGCGTTGAGCACATCCGAAGCACCACGGGCAGACCTCTGGATTTCTGCAAGTTTTGGCTGGCCACAGCCTTGGAAAACCTGCAATTACAAAGACATGGGCACACAGCTGGCAGCAGTCTCAATGGTTATGGATGCAGGAAAATAAGGGAAAACATGCTGTTTTATTTTAAAGGTTTCCTGACTCATTCACCCCACACCACCGGTGTGACGGTGCTATGTGACAAAGCTGAGGTAACCACACTGATAAGTCAGAGAGTTAAGAGCTGTGGTCGAAGCTATTTAGGCTGGAAGGGTTTAGTTTTTACAGGCTTTGGGGGAAACTCCGCACATATAGTTAAACCGTCAACAAAGCTTCATCTGTTGAATGAGAGAGCCAACAGACCATTGAGCTCTGAATGGGAACTGGCATCTAAATCGGTGTAGGCAGAAAAAGTATTCCTTACAACCACCTACATTTTTTCCCTTCCTAACTGCAGTTTTGTGGGCAAGGAGAAATGTAGTAAAACACAGGAAAGCCATTAAATACTGTTAGCTAAACTGTGATTATCTGACCAATGTGAAACGTATAATTCAGAACCTAAGCTAAAATAATAAGAATGTGCTGTATACACCTTAGTCACAGTCTAGAATGACAAGCAAACGTCCTAATGATAAAAAAAATTCTGTGGACATCAACCTGTCTACAATGTGGTTTCTCCTCTTCAATGGAGCATTACTGACTTACCCTGAAAGAAACCTGGGCACTGTTATCTTGCATATTCATGATGGCCTCTGAAATCTTGACATCAATAGGTTCCATGACGGATTCAATGTTGAAAGGCCCTTCGAGCCTCTGTGCCACCAGCAGCATGGCATCTGTCAGAGTGGGAAAGGAAACAGGTTAGAGGGCGAGAAAAGCGTGTAGACTGACATGCATACAGCGAATAGTAGATGAGATGAAAGGACAGGCATGACAAAAACAGAGACAGTGTCTTGCGAAGTAATCAAACTCTTTAACCTCGTTGAGTGATGTTGCAACTGGAAATTTAGAGGTATTTTGGGGGGCAGGGGGTTATGTGATAGATCCAGAAAAAGTAGAGGATAGTTGTAAGGTGGAGATAAATGATAGAGGTTTATCAAATTATTAAGGGAAAAAAAATCATGAGAAAAGAAAGTTATAGTCCATTCATCCAGGCCAGATTGAATTGAGTGATCAGATTTTATAGGCTGCTGGACTGTCATGTTACAGGGGGTGCTCCATGAAATGTCCCAAGCTTGGAAAATAGTTTTTTACAACCAAATCTTTCTTTAAACCTTTACGTTTCTCGGTCTTCATGATGCTGCTTCTTCTTAGTTTGGAGAAGACGCACCATCGTTGGCCACATCATGTGACCTGGAAGAATGCATCACTTTATGGCTGCAGGCTCTCCTATTGTCATAGAGCTAAGCCTTTTGCTCTATTGTTTTTCCGCCTGCTCTACCACTGGTCATGGCTGAGGCAAGGAAATAGTTTAAACCTTCAGAGGGGGCTAAAAGAGAAAACATGACAGGTATCGTACGAGGAAAAACAAGAGTCGATCTTGGAAAAGAGTTTGTATGTTGGAGAATGCTGAAAGAAGGTGGCGGATGTCAAACTGGTTCTCTTTTCTTTATTATTTGACTGGTAGGTAGTGTTGCAGCAATGCCATGTTTTGGCTATATAGCAATACCTGATACATGGCTGTGCAGTATTGGCCGATACTGATACCATACCGATACCATCTGTTTGAAATGTATGTGTTTGTGTATATATGAAGAACTCAATACTACTTGGATGTAAAATAATTGCCATCAGGGCTTTGTCAAGCTGCTGCCTACCTTTAAAAAAGCAGGAAAAAGACTAAAACAAAGTGAATCCAATAGAACTTTTTATTGCCTACCTGGAATGGGTGACAATATTTGAATAAACTTTTGGCTCTCAAATTCGTATCGGTGCCCTTTTTGTCGGTACTCTCTGATACCACAATTTTAGAGCAATATCGGTACTGGTACTGGTATCGGTGCAACACTACTGGTAAGTTAACACTTTGCTCTTAGTATAGAGTCATATATCTTTGTTATTATTTTCGATGTTTAGTAAAAGCAAAATACGGGCAGAGAAAGCTAGCAGGCTATAAACAAAAGCTACTAGGGATGCTGGACATGAAAGTTACAGGTCTAGCAACCCATAGTGACCAAAGGTCACACAGTGTGCCTTAAGAAGATTCAAAAGATGCATTAATTGTTTTTTAGGGGTCTTTGTGCTAAGAAAAAAATTCTCATGGTGGATAATAGATGGATAATTTCTTATTTAGTATTAGATGACTACTGGGCAAATGGTTGCACTAGATATGGTATCGGTGTAAAGGTGCTGAGTAAATGCACACAACACTTTATGTTTTACTTACTCTATTTACTCATTTATTTTTACTCTATTCCATGCCACAATAGAGTGCTTATTTGAATATAACAATCCCATACCGTAATATTTGGTAAATAGGGGGTTTTATCCTGCAAATATGGAAAATGTTAGCCAGGCAAAAATAGCATCTCTAAGACTCTATTGCCTGTATTGAACTATTCAAGTGGCACAGGCCTCTATCACTACTATAAAAAAATGCTTTGAAAAAGAGGAACATGGTTTTACATGGATCCCCAAAGACAATGCCACATTATATTGCCTCATCTCATCCCACTTACATAAATATCCTTTCTCTTTATATCTGCATCCCTTACATAATTAGCCACAATAAGTTTATGAGAATTTGCTCTGTCTGATGTAAAACTGCTTTTCAAGCAGTGCAAAGGTTATTAAACAGTTTAATGTGCCTTTCTTTTTATTGCTTCTGTCTTCCCAAGCCTCTGGTGGGTTCTTAAGCTGCAGATGTGTGAGGCTTTACTAGCTTACCCTGTAAACAAAAACAACTCAAATGTAAAGACTTCTTCCACAGAGAAGAATGCATGCCTTTTTGAATTAGTTAAATACTACCACACTGCTCCAACCTGATTAACGAACAGCTTAATCATTATAAAAGTTTTAGCTATTGATAAAGCGGGATACCACACATTTGGTCAAAAATATTAAAACATGTGGATTTGTTTTACAAGTTTATATAATTGCCAAACAAGTGGATGTGATATTGATATTGTTCTTAAGATAAAACTACAAATTGTTACATCTCTAAAATGTCTTTATAAAAGGTTTCCTGTCTTTAGCTTTGCATTTTTTTCTCCTCACTAACGCCTTTACCTATACGTGCCTTAATACTGTAACATATTTCTGCATTATGACAGTGCCAGCTCCATGTTTCAGTGGGATGTGGATCCATCCATCCATCCATCCATCCATCCATCCATCCATCCATCCATCCAGCCAGCCAGCCAGCCAGCCAGCCAGCCAGCCAGCCAGCCAGCCAGCCAGCCAGCCAGCCAGCCACATGCTTGGCAGGTCACCAGTCTGTCACACATACCCACCCACACAAGCAGTCTATTTTTTTTGTCTTAGTAAATTTAAAGACATCAATTAACCAGTCATGTTTTTCAAATCAGGAGTGTCCACGCATGCAAAAATAGATTGGGTATCAAACCAAAGACCTTCTTGCTGCAAGGCAACAGTGCTGCAAACAGATCTTGTATGCTGTGCTTCTCTCAGAAAAACAGTCATTTGTTTGATCCAATGTCAGGATTTGATTGTTTGAACATGTTTTTGGGTTTGTACATATATACAGCCCCACTATTGTAAATGAAAATAATGTTAGCAAATATTACAAATAGCCAAAATACTACTACATCTGTTTCTCCTTTCATTGACTACTAACTGTCATATGGATCACTAAAGCTTTTGATGCAAATTGAAGTTTGGTATAAATCCACTCAACAAACATCAAGAATTGCTAATGAGATGCTTATTCAATTAAAAACAAAAGCCCAGCACATCTATTGAAGGTTGGCTGTTTATAAAATTGTATGGACATAACAAAAGGGCTTTTTTTATGAAAGCTGTATAGCCTGGCCATTGACCACTGCCAAGTTAATGGCAGATCAATCTGGAAAGGAGCAGGTTGAACCCCATTTTAAATGACTAGGGATGTGACTAGGGATGTGATGCCAAAACATTTTTTTTTATTTTTTTAAGAAAAAGCTCTTACAACAGCCAGTTGTTGATATTTTTAACATATGTACAGCTCTTTCAGGACATAACAAACATCAAAACATTAATTAAAATATTGCTCCACTGCAGCTGCAATCTTAACTGTTACTACGGACCCACGCTGCACTTGTTCCGTTCTATTGTGACTAAATGCTAGTAAGTGGATTTCAAATTAGCTTAAACTTGTGCAAATTAACTGAGTGAGACACAACAAAGAATATA